CCCTATTAGTTTCTTTTATTTACAAATATTATTAGATATTTCTTATTAAAGAACAGGTGATAATTTTTATATTAAGGGAAGGAGGTGTTTTCTTTAAGATGTATAATTTCATTGAATATTACGTTTTGATTTTGAATTTGTGTCAAGTTTAGTAAATTGTCTTAGTTATTAATATGATGAGTATAAATATAAAAGTCTTCCTTTGTATTCATTTTTTCACCTTTATTTTCAATATCCAGAATGTGCATATTTTTATTCATTTCTGAGTATGTATGGTCGGTCTGAAGTATATTATGTTCGGCGTATGAGGATTTTTGTGTTGTCATATTGTTTGATCTGATTGCCTGTATATGCTCTTTGTATCTGATTTCAAATGTTCGACCTGTTTGACCAATATAGTATTTTTCACAGTTGTTACATGATAATTTGTAAATTCCTGATTTCTTATACACATTTGGTGGGTTGGGTATCGGATTTGTTCTTTTTTGTATTATGTTGAAAGCGTTATTCCTTGTTTTATAACTTAGTTTAAATTTTGAGTTCGGTAATGTCTTTCTTAAGGTTTTGTTTAAGGATGAGCTGAATGGAATACATATAAATTCTTTCTTTACGTTTTCTTGTTCTTCTACTTTCATTCTTTTTGTTTTTTCATTTTTTATTAATTTTTCAATCATTTTTTCTTTGTATCCATTTGTTCCTGCAATTCTTTTTATAGTTTTCTTTTCTATTTCAAAGTTGTCTTTAGACATTGGTATGTTAAGTAGTCTAAATACCATTGATTTGAATGTAGAAATTTTGTGTTGCCAAGGATGGTTTGACTCAAATGGAATGATTAGGTCAGTTTGGGTAGGTTTCCTATATATATTGAAATTATGTCGATCGTTTTCTTTAGTAATTGTTATGTCTAAGAAATTTATCTTCTTTTCTTGTGTCTCCATCGTAAATTTAATTGTTGGGGAGATAGAATTTAAGTATTTCAAAAAATCTTGATATGAGTCTTTATTGCCGTTATATAAGCATAATATATCATCGACATATCTATACCAATAGATTATATCTTTTTTAAATGGATTTTCGTCGTTTATGATTTTTGATGATTCTAGATGCTGCATATATATGTTTGCTAGAATACCAGAAAGTGGAGAACCCATAGCCAATCCTTCTAATTGTTTGAAAATTTTGCCATTGAATTCAAAATAGCTTTGATTGATTGCTACTCTAGATAGTTTCATAAGATCATTTAACTCATTTTTTGAAACCTGTTTATTTTTGTTTAAAGTTTCTTGAAGGATTTGAAGGGTATCTTTTGTAGGAATATTTGAATACATATTAGTTACATCAAAGGAGATAAAAATTGCATTTTCAGGTATTAATTCATCCTTAATTTTTTCAATTAATTTATATGTATTGTTGATACTGTATCCAGATTCAAAGTTTATCTTATGTTTTAGTTTATTATTTAGGTACTTACATACATTGTATGCTGGGGCATTTCGGTAGTTAACAACAGGACGTATTGGTACATTTGTTTTATGTGTTTTAGGTTGTCCTCTAAATTTTGGTATTATTGGATTTATCATTTTTAGTTGTATCATGTCACTTTTATTTAAAGTTTTACATTTAGATATTGTACTATTAATTTCTTTACTGTATTCTAGTGTGGGATCTTTAGAGAGTTCTCTGTAATTATTGTCTTCAATAAAGTTTTCTACCTTTTTGTTATAGTCGTCTATGTTTATTATAACAGTTGTATTTCCCTTATCAGCTTTGGTTATTATTGCGTTGTTATCTTTGAGTTTTTTTTATATTGATGTTACAGTATTTAAGTCTTTTCTGGACTTCTTTATTATACCTTTGTTTTTAGTTTCTATTCTATTTTTGTCTAATTCATGTACAAAATTATGTCTAATTGATTCTTGGATGTCTGTCTTTTGTTTTCTTATTGCAACTTCTAGATCTATCATTTCATCTTTTATAACCTTCTGTTGGAAGTCCATGTTAATGTTGTATTTTTGTGCTTTTGATAACATTTCTGTTTCATCTTTTTCAAATACAATATTTGTTAGATTTTGAACTTTGGGATAAAATGAATGGGTTTCATTCAAATTTTCATTTTTTATCTTCTTAGCTTTTTGACCTATCAGACTTTGTAGCTTCTTGTGATGAGTTTCTTTCTTTCTTTTTATAATTGGTTCAATCCAATTTTGTACGTATTCATTGAATTCATTGAATGACAAAGACAATTTACTAAACTTGACACAAATTCAAAATCAAAACGTAATATTCAATGAAATTATACATCTTAAAGAAAACACCTCCTTCCCTTAATATGAAAATTATCACCTGTTCTTTAATAAGAAATATCTAATAATATTTGTAAATAAAAGAAACTAATAGGTTATATACTATACTGTGATCATGGCATTAATGTCCGAAACATGTAAGTAATATAAAATAAAATGTTTTTAGGGTACTGTGGTATTTTGATTTGCTTAGTAATATATAAATATATATATACTAGCTGACCCGGCGAACTTCGTATCGCCTAAGTTATAGGTTTCCCCTAAGACAGACCGATGGAAAGAAAGTACCGTTACGTTTAATTTTCAAGATGATCTCGTTCGCATCGCTCAATCACGTCCTGGTTGAAGTTCGTTCGCTACGCTCACTCACCTTTGGGTTGGAGCTCGTTCGCTGCGCTCACTTGCCTTTAGGTTGGAGCTCGTTCGCTACGTTAACTCGCCTCCAGGTTAGCTCGTTCGCTACGCTCACTCGCCTCCAGGTTGAAGTTCGTTCGCTACGCTCACTCACCTTTTGATTGCAAATTAGCTGTTGTCATAAATGTAAAAGAAATAATAGTGCTGCACCCTGTTGGTAATCCTTGTAACTTTAATGCTATTGAACATCATAGAACAGAACCAACTTGTTTAATTGAAACAGCTGTTAAGATTCATTAATTCCATTTCTCATAAGGTTAACATGGGAAACTCCAGAGCCACTGGGGCGGAGCCCTTTTAAGAATTTCGAAACGGGAAATAGTTTACGTCCGATTCGCATACCTACAGAATTTACACACCAAATTTCATAACGATCGGTGAAGTCGTTCCGGAGGAGTTTGCAGACAAACACTGTGACACGAGAATTTTATATATTAGATATATATGAATTTGAACGGATGGTGTTTTTGGCCTCTGGGGACATCAAAATGAAAAAGTAAATCGGTCCCGAGTCCAGGTCTTACCATGAGACCTACGGTAATAGCTTATTCCCTATATGGGAAATTCGCTAATATTCCCTATATGGGAAATTCGCTAAAACAAGGGAAGTTTATGGATTACTTACTTTAGACGGAATAGTGATATAAACCACAATAGGTTTAATAAGTTAAGCAATAAAAAAAATATTGACAATAAATTTTAATAGCCTAAACAAAATGTTTGTATATAAATCAAAATGTTTATAACGGACTGAAAGTTCTTGTAATGATATATTGTTAACATTACCTAATTATTATTTACTTAAAAATAATTTTCTATTGCTGCTGACATGACGGAGTGCACAATTATTCAAATGTCAGCAGTATATGTTGTACATATAACTAAGTTATTCTAAGAAATGTAGAAAAAGGGTCGCCGGAATTTTATCCCCCTGGAATTTTACCCCCTGGGCAAAGCTGACGTCACTATGACGTAGTAACCTGAGTGGCCAAAAGTTTGTTCGCGGCCGGAATTTTACCCCCGCGGATTTCGAAGTCTAATGAAAATAGTCAGAGCGTGATTAATTCGATTAGCGATAAAAACCGGAATTTTACCCCCTGTCCATAACTAGTGTTTAGACAACTGAAATGTACGGGCCGGATTTTTACCCCCCGGAATTTTACCCCCGGAATTTTACCCCCGGAATTTTACCCCCCGGAATTTTACCCCCTGGCCGATTTTAGAAATTGAATGATTGGTTTTCTTATTTCTGTTTTTAATTAATTGTAAACATTTCATTATTTAGTAGCCTATCTTTATTTATTTATTTTTTAAAGAAATGTTCGAAACAATTATCATTCAGTTGATTGTTTATACGTCATATTAACCAACTGTTAGCTTCAAAGATCGAATCCTAATACTAGAATCTCAAAATTAAAATTCAAAACCTGTTCGGTTAGTTTCTTACAAAGAAATTAATATAGGCTACTTAATAATAAAATGTTTACTATTAAATTAAAACAGAATGAAGATAATTAATCATTCTCACTTAATTTTAATATCTATCCAGGGGGTAAAATTCCGGGGGTAAAATTCCGGGGGGTAAAATTCCGGGGGGTAAAATTCCGGGGGTAAAATTCCGGGGGGTAAAAATCCGGGCCGTACACTCTAGGTTTTTATAATTTGATGTGTTCTGATTAAATTCACAACCGTTAAAATATATAAGTCTAATTCCGCGTTTAATCCATCGAGCTGATGTCGCGAAACTCAAAAGTTCGCGGCCGGAATTTTACCCCCTGGTTTGTGACGTCACGTTTGCCCAGGGGGTAAAATTCCAGGGGGATAAAAATCCGCTACCCCTAGAAAAAGACTTAAATTACTCGTAACAGCTCATGAAATGTAAGTTGCAGTCAGACGTTTTGCTTTAAAGAATGCAACAATCAAGAGTTAAACATTTTGATTGTACATACCTCTTGCTAAGTAATCAAAGCAATCGATAAGCGGAACATTTTGATTGTTTACACATCGTACATCACTATAAATTAAATTTTCTTGTAATGATATATTGTTAACATTACCTAATTATTATTTACTTAAAAATAATTTTCTATTGCTGCTGACATGACGGAGTGCACATTTATTCAAATGTCAGCAGTATATGTTGTACATATAACTAAGTTATTCTAAGAAATGTAGAAAAAGACTTAAATTACTCGTAACAGCTCATGAAATGTAAGTTGCAGACAGACGTTTTGCTTTTAAAGAATGCAACAATCAAGAGTTAAACATTTTGATTGTACATACCTCTCGCTAAGTAATCAAAGCAATCGATAAGCGGAACATTTTGATTGTTTACACATCGTACATCACTATAGTCAGTCAGGAGTTTTCTGGTTCTAAACTGGATCCAGGTGTCCTGGGTCACTAAGTTTTAACTAATGGTTGGTTCTAAGTTGAGTTAACCAACCAGTGGCGTAACAGATTTTTTTGGGCCCCCGTGCAAACTTATTTTTTGGGCCCCCTCTCATGAGTTATTTTTAGACCAACAATACAACATAATCGAACACCCTCCCCCCTCCAACCAAGAGTTATTTTTTGATCAACAATACAATGGCCAAACAGGTTCATCATAAATACACTGTAGTAAATATATTATGGGTTATGTTCCATAAAAAGGCGTGTTAAGTATTTCAGTCATGGTTTGATGATAAAGTTACATATTTATCAATATCAGTATCTGTGAAAAGTTTTGAAATAAAATAAAAATACCTTATTTTTCATCCGTATCAGAATGTTTCGTATCAAGTAGGTGTTATATTTATTTTATTACACATGATATCAATTATTTATTCGGGTAGGTTTTATCGGTGGTTTTAATTAGGCTAACTCATACACTCAAAGTTGGTTAATTTAGAAGATTGATGTAGGCCTACTTTTACAAAAGGCTAAGATTTTGGTCTTTTTTATGGATTTCTTGCGTTGACCTTACAAACATATGTCTTTAGTATTGATTAATTGTGAGGCAAAAAGATATAGTCTAACAAACAAAGCCAGTAGAGTAGCAATAATTGTATTTTTCACCACACTATGATGTTTTTAGCTGTTTTACATATACGTTAATAAATTGGTGGCTGAAAGTTAAGTTTTGCTGGCCATGCCAGCTGTCACCGTCATTTGGGGACCGAGCAGGTTTTTACATCACTAGGGCTGCAAAATCAGCTGCCCGCTTACTTTCTTAAAACATGAATGCATATTAAATACACAATCAGTATCCATAGCATTGCAATAGAATTGTTTTATTGTCATCGATGCATAGCAACTATTTATTAAATTATTTTTGCTGATTCCTCAAGTTATTTCTTCTCATAAACTTAAAGTTGTACAGTTGTGTCTGTGTTGACTATCAGTGTGCTTTAGTATTGTAGTGAATAGTGGTAATACAGGGTTGGTACTGATTTTGGAAAATGAAATTCCCTGACTTTTTCAGGTTTTCCAGACTGATATTATACCTTTTCCAGGTATACCGTAAGACGATATCGAATAGTCAGAATTAAGAATTATTAGAAAAAATGTAGGCCTAAATAGTTTACCTACTCATAAAACCAATAAGAAAAGAATTAAACATCTGGAATCTGAAAAATTAAGAGTACCAACTAACTTAACCTCACACTTTATGTTCTACTTGGCCTTGACTTGACACTAGCAGATAGACGACACGGTGCTTCTGATACTGATATAAATCGATATTTTGCTTGCGATATCATCGGCTTATATCGGAAGAAACATGTGATATTGGAAAAATAACTACCATGCTTGTACCGGAGACAAAAAGTAGTACCAAACTAAACTATTAAATGTTTCAACTAACAGAAAAATTTTTTTTATAAACTCCTACAAGTGCAGTTTTTTTTAGTTTATTAAAGGTTGAATCAGTATTGGTGTAAATTCAATGAGGAATTGTATTCAGAATCGTATTGAAATTGAAACGATGAATGTAGGCCTATCCTTCCGCGCATCGCGGTACTACCATGATAGATTTGTAGCAAACGGATTGATGTTTTAATTAATGATTGTAACTTACGTCAATCAATCCAGTTGTGTATTGGAGGGACGTATGTTTCGACCTTTAGGCCATCTTCAGCCCCGCTGTTACACTAAGTTGTTCCATCCTTAGTTGCATAGTTGGTGTAGCAACCGCGTCAAATATTTACAATGAAGAACACAAAAATACATCATTGACTAAGACGAACACATATTAATAAAACTATCACCGTGCGCACGGCTGAACGGGCTCGGGACTGCGGCAACACTCATGAACTAACGGTACTAGCCGTGTTTCCATACGTGGGATTATCCCGAAAACAGGATTTTTAGAGCATGAGCGGGATTTGAAGGGGATGTGGGATAAAACAGGAGTTTTGGCTATGACGTCGTTTTTATTTACTATGCTTTATTTTAGTGAAAAACTAACCCCAATCTAAAAAATTACCTTAACAAAATATAATAGCAATGTTAAAACAACTAGGATTTAAACACAATATGTCTAATTTAACACTCAGAATTTATCACAAAAAATCATAAGGGATTAAACGGGATTTATTAACCCAGTGACCGGGATTATATTCTCTTGGTCGTGTAGAAACACTGGGAGCTCGGTACGTTCAATTAAAGCCAGTAATCAGAGATGATGATAGAATGTCAGTGATGATAGAATGTCTGTCGATGTTCGATGTTTTTTATATCGATGGTAGGTTCCCGATGTTTTTGACCAAGTATTGAGACGTAGATGCAAAATGTAGCATATCTGTAAAAAATGTAGTCTTTCAAGAGAAATTCCCTGACTTTTCCAGACCAACAAAATTCCCTGACATTTCCAGGTTTTCCAGGTTTTCCCTGACCGTACCAACCCTGTAATATGATATAACTTTGTGTGGTGAAAAAATAGCCGTACCACGGACCGAAATGGTTTTGCAGCTCTCGATCTTTTAAGTTCTCGACTTCGTCTCGAACTTAAAAACTATCTCGAGCCCGCAAAACCTCATTTGTTGCCCTAGGTATGAAATAGGGACCTAAATAAAATTAATAACTTATTAGGGTAAAACTAAAATTGTTGGCAGACATAAGCAGTGTACGCAAGCACAGAGAAGTCAAAATACTTCTATGTGACGAAAGTAAGATTGCATTATAATCAATGAACCATGTTATAAAACGTTATATTTGTTACCTTAGTTCCTTATCACTGAATAGGCCTAACAAAAACGACGGTATTTATAACATTAATGTTATTACTTGTTTAATACAGTTATTAAATGATTTATAATACATTTCAATTAGAATGAACTCCAATTTTTCGGCCCTACTCGTCTCACGGGCCTCTGGTTTCCGCTAGCTGTTTCGCGGTCCCCTCGGTCCCCCCCATCTAGGATCTAATAAATCTACTAGGCACTAAGTTTAGGCCTATACTATAATGTAATAAAACTAACAATTGCTTTTAAATCCATTACCAGGGGCCCATTTCATAATAAACTACAAGCATAGATAAAACATACTCCCTTAGTGTTGGTTAGTCTATGCTACAATTTACAACTTCCATTAGATTTGCATTGGGCGATCAGCTGATTTACTAATAATATTAGTTTGTACTTTATTATGAAATGGGCCCCAGATTGGCACTATTAGCAGACCTTAGATAAACCCGTTCATCCATCGATAGTTGAGCGATATTTTCATACATTAGGATTTTTTTCAGATATAAACTTGTTTAAGAATATACATGTGGGCTATAACTTTACCTTATATTCAGATTGTTTATCAGTCTTTAATTATTAATGTAACTAAACTAGCTACATAGGAAACTTGGACACGAATACAATAACAACAGCCTAGCATGTAGCATGATTCAATAACAGTCTAGTCTAGTCCTAAGTCCTAGTCCGTTCGTTCGTAACGAATCAATCTGTTCTCTGAATCTGTTTTCTTTACGTTCGTCATTTTGACTTTTACCACAGAGACAAGGGAAACAAAGAATATACTTTTATTTCCTTAAGCCGGGTTTTCCTAAGCGCGTAGTCGGCGAGCGGAGAGAGGAACGCAGAGAGCGAACTCCACTTGTCTTAGGCAATTTAATGTTACTGTTTTCCTAGAAGCGGAGCGGAATGCCATGTTAATTTCAATTCCGCTCTCCGCGTTCCTCTCTCCGCTCGCCGACTCCGCGCCTAGGAAAACCCAGCTTTAGTCAATGCTTTTACGTTTGACAGAATGAGGGTAGAGAGTACTTGACAATTGACCTTACAGGCAGTGGCAGTGACTGATCCTCTGATTGGGGATTTCGACCAATATCGACCCCGGTCAATAAAACGAAACATAATAATGGAACACCATAGATTAAAGTATTGACTTTTTTATACAATTTTGGAAACATACTCCCTTGTCAATGTATCATACTTTATCCTTATGAAACATTAACTTTATCCTTCACATTTTGCAATAAGCTGAGAAATGAAAACGAAATGAAATAATATTTTATTTCCCATAAATTATATACACATAATTACATTGTATTTTTTTTACTTCAATATAATACAGCAAACTACTAGATAACAAAACAAAAATTATACTCTGTAGAAATAAAGCGAAAAAAGTGAAAAAAATACGTCCGAAGGAAAAAGTCTACATAGGCAGGGCCTGTGCGTAGACTCGAGTTGCGAAAAGGTTAATTTAGATGGGAGGTAAAAATACCCCCGCCGCAGCAAACCTGCCGACTAAGCGAATTTCCATTTGTCTTAAATGATTTTCAATTAAATATATTTTAATAACATTAGGTTTAACCAGTACCTACCCATGTAGCACAGATGGTTGGGCCAACGTTGGTAAATTGTGGAGCCACACAGTTGGCCAACGGTAGAAATGTCACCTCTTTAAACTGTTTTCCAGCCAACCATTGTCCAACAATGGCCCAACCATCCAAAAATACTGATGGCCAACTAACCATAACACAACTGATCCAACCAACCGTTTTATTTCACACAAAATAATTAAGATTTAGTACGAAAAGCATAATTATTAGTTGAGTAAATTGATTAAATAGTTCTTAAAAACAAATTTTGAAAAAAAGCTAGAACAAAATTTTTTGGCCCAGACGGGTCTCGAACCCAGGTCCTTCGACTTATGAGCCTCTTACCTTACCACTGAGCTATCTGTGATTGTTGATATAGAGAGTTTTCAAGTGGTGAAAGAGTAGCCGACAGTTGCAATGGCCGCAATACTTCAAACATTTTTGATACTACACAGTATAATATGATTCTGTTAATCTGTTAAGGCATCATAAGTAGTTATTTTTTTTTTATTTTTTTTTTTTTTTGGAGTTAGAGAGGATACTGGTATTTGAATATAGAGATTAATTAATTACCGTTAGATTATTAATGCTATTATAATTGACTGTTATATGATTAATTACTCTTTCCCCTTAAAT